AGAATCCTCTCATTACTGCCTTACTTGCATCCCAAACTGTACTCATCTTTGTGCCTTTATTACTGTTATCTGTGAAATAGTCCATCAACTTCTTTTGTGCCTCTTGTATGATTTTTTGATCCTCTAAGAGGTCATCATTAATTCTCCATCTGAATGATCTTTCTTCATAACCTCTTATCTCCAATTTTATTGGGCTGTGATCCGAAATTACTCTAGGTTGGATTTCAATTTGAAGAATTCTTGGAGTTAATTCATTTGAGACCCAGATTTGATCTATTCTTGACATTGACTGATTTGGATCTGAGTAGAATGTAAACTGTCTAAGTCTCCAGATGTCAATTAAGTTACAATTCTTCGTCATCAAGAAAAAAGTCTTAGGTAGTTTCCCCTCTTTGCTAACTTCTTTATCTCTTAATCTATCCATTTCCATTGAGACTACTCCATTCAAATCTCCCATGGCTATAATTTTTTTGGTCCATATATTCAAACAGTCTTTCTTCCAAATTTTTATAAAAATCAGTCTTATTTCCATTAGGTGCATAGATCCCGACAATTATTAATTTTTCGCCTTGCCATTTGATCTGGATAGCGATAATTCTTCCTTCTTCATCTTTAAAAATTTGTTCAGCTTCAATTTTTTTCTTTACATATAGTACAATCCCTCTCTTTTTCCCTTTGTCAGAAGATATGAATTCATTTCCCAATCTGTTATTAATCAAAAATTTTCTATGTTTCCTTGCCACATGTGTCTCTTGTAGACAAATAATGTCCAAATTTTTCTTTTTTAAATAATATTCAATTTTATTTTTTTATCATTCATTCCATTAATATTCCAACTCCACAATTTCAACACCATGAGGACTTCCTGATTAAAATTAATTTAAATAATTAATCTTTATGATATGTCTATATCTTGTTCTTCTTCCTCTTCCTGTTCCTTGTCCGAATTCTCTCCGTTCTCTCCCCCTCTCTCTTTCAAGTGCTTTCCTCCCATAAGATCTACTCCTCCAACTGCTCCCTTCTCCTCCTCCTCTTCCGCTATCAATTCCTTATATCTTCTCTGGAATTTGCCTGTTTCCTCTGGGTTGGTAAGTCTGTGCTTCTTACTTTTATAAACAAAGGAAATCCCCTCCGGGAATTCCCACTTAAATTCAATCTTATTCTTCTTTAAAATTTGGACCAATGGTTTATATGGGTCTCTTCGTTTCAGCAATCTGATTGGTATGTCTTTAAAAATAATTATATAACTTCCATCGATGTTTAGTCTTTTTTCTCTATTTCTTTGAAGTATCAAATTTCTCATTTCTCTATCTTTGAAGGTAATTAAACAATCTCCTGGAACTTTCTTTTATTTGGTTGTTCTTACTCTCATCCTGAATGCGTTCTGTACTGTTCTCGCAACCTCATCATTTTGTAACTCCATCCATTGTGCTATCTCTGTTATTAATTTCTCTCTAATGTTCTCACCTTGAACCTCGGGCACTTCATTCCCTCTTCCAGAGATTGTGTTCGTTTCGATACCTCTTTAATTTGCCCCTTCAATTCATTTACTGTCTCATCAATTTTTTGTCCATTTTTCCTATTCTAGTATCTACTTGTTCAATTCTCGTATCCACTTGTTCTAATTTTTCTTCCAAATTCTTTTCGCTTTGCCTAATTTCTGCAAACATTTTTAATATTTCTCCTTTAAAATCTGATTCTTATTTGGATCCTCTTCTATCTGCTGGTGTTCCCCCCTCACCTCCTTTCTTCGGTTGGTGGGACATTCTCACAAATATAGTTTACACACTTATCACTTAGTAATCCAAATTAAAAAATAAATTTTCCCCACCGCTTCAGACAACCTTCTAAATACCCCACCGAAAACCAAATATATCCAATTACTTTCAAATTTTACGATCTATATGTTCTTAATTTAGTCTTTTGTATATTCCTTCAAATCCTACTTTCAAAGTTCAGATATCTTCAGCCCGTTGGATCTTTAAACCTAAAATACTGTGAGAAAAGGAGACACAGATTCGATGTCCAAATTCTTCTTGCCACCAATTAGGCTAATCCTTTTGGAACGCACAGTAATCCATTTGTAATCCAATTTATAATCCAATTTGTAATCCAATTTCGTTCATATTATATCACCAAAGAAGAGTTACTTTCCCTCAAAAAATAATCGAAAGTTCTAAATCTTCTGCCTCCAATTAGGCTAATCCTTCCAGACCTTTATAAGCCAATTATAATTTAAATTGTAATCCATTTTTGGTAATTGTGTCCAAATAAATGTTCCAATTTAAAAAAAAATTTGAAAATTGAAATAGTCCTAAAATTAAGCCAAATAAAAAAACATCCAAGTGGATACTTCACAAAAACTCATTATTGAGGACAAGGAAAAAAACCAGAGACATCCAACCCCTAAAAAGGAAGAGAAAGCAAAAAAGAACAGCAAAACAAAGTAGAGCCAGGGAGAACAAAGAAAATCCAGCAAAAAAACAAGTTGTAGTTCCTCTTCTGTCCACAGGGGCCTAAGCTCCCAAAACAAAAGTTTTTGAGGGAAGTCTAAAAGTCCAACTTTATTTAAAGATTTCCTTATTAAAAAATCATAATCCAAATCCAAATGGTAATAGTGGCCAGTAAAAGTAAATAAAATCACTTCAAAAAATTTTCCTCAAGCGATCGAAATGCCCAAAATCTAATGAATTTATGTCCTTTCCGCAATTGCAGAAGACAGACAAAAGACAATGGAGTCGGAAGCTCCTCTTCTGTTGCGCAGTTTTTTTTAAAAAAAAGTGAAACTGGGAACGTTCTTGTATCTCTTTTCTCCCACAGTTACAACGAGGACCTTCAAATTCTAAAATTAATCCTCCGTCCCCCCCTTTTAACTTAGTTTCGCCTTAAGTTACTCTGTATCTTTTTAGAGAAATATTTCTCAAGTAGTCAAAAGGGGGAAAGAAACAAGCCGCGAGCGGTAACTCACTTCCCTTTTCTCCGGCTTGCTTGTAGAATGTGTTAACACTGCTTGCAGATGACAGCTGGTCTCCGCATTTATCAATTTTAAATCCGAATCCTTTCTGATGTTAAATCCGCTTCCTTATGTCTGGGCCACTTTCAACCGGTCTGAACCGGTTCCAACCAGCTCGGACCAGCTCCAACCGGTCTGAACCGGATCCAACCGGCTAGGACCAGTTCCAAAGGGTCTGTACCGGTTCCAACCGGTCTGGGCCTGTTTCAACCGGTCTGAACCGGTTTCCGACCAGCTCCAACCGGCTAGGACCAGTTCCACAAGGTCTGTACCGGTTACAACTGGTCTGGGCCAGTTTCAACTGGTCTGAACCGGTTTTAACAGGTCTGGGCCGGTTTCAACTGGTCTGAACCGGTTCGCGCACCAGTTCCAATGGGTCTGAACCAGTTCCAACTGGCTCGGACCAGTTTAAACAAGTCTGAATTGGTTCCAACCAGTCTGAACCGGTTCCAACCGGTCTGGTGCGGTTTTAACCAGTCTGAACCGGTTTCAACCGCCTCGGACCAGTTTCAATAGGTCTGAAACTGTTCCAACCGGTCTTGGCCAGTTTCAACCGGTCTGAACCGGTTCCAACCGGTCTGGGCCGGTTTCAACGGGTCTGAACCAGTTCCAACCAGCTCAGACCAGCTTCAACCGACACGGACCAGCTCCAACCAGCCTGAACACCTTCCAACCAGCTTGAGCCAGTTGGTCTGAACCGGTTTCAACTGGTCTGAACTGGTTTCAACCGGCCTGAACTGGTTCCAACTGGTGTTGGCCGGATTCAACCAGTCTGAACCAGTTTCAATCGGTCTGAACCAGTTCCAAGCGGCTTGCACCAGTTCCAATCGGTCTGAACCGTTTCCAACCAGTACAAGGCGGTTTCAAACAGCTCGGTCCAGTTACAACCGGTCTGAACTGGTTCCAACCAGCTCAGATCAGTTCCAACCGGTCTGAACCGGGTCAAACCGGTCTTGGCCGGATACAACTGGTTCAAACCGGTTTAAATCGGTCTGAACCGGTTCCAACCGGTCTTGACTGGATTCAATCGGTCTAAACCTGTTTCAGTCGGTCTGAACCAGTTCCAACCGGCTTGGACCAGTTCCAATCGGTCTGAACCGGTTCCAACCGGTCCGGGGCGGTTTCAACCGGCTTGAACCAGTTACAACCGGTCGGAACCAGTTCCAATCGGTCTTGGCTGGATTCAACCGGTCTGAACCATTTCAAACCGGCTAGGACAAGTTCCAACCTGTCTGAACTGGTTCAAACCGGTGCGGACCAGTTCCAACCGGTCTGAACTGGTTCCAACCGGCTCCGACGAGTTTCAATCGGTCTAAACTGGTTTCAATCGGTCTGAACCAGTTCCAACAAGCTCGGACCAGCTCCATCCGGTCTGAACTGGTTCCAACCGGCTCGGACCAGTTACAACTGGTCTGAACTGGTTCCAACCGGCTCGGACCAGTTCCAATCGGTCTGAACCGGTTCCAACTGGCTCAGACCAGTACCAACAGGTCTGAACCGGTTCCAACAGGTCTGAACCGGTTCAAACCGGTCTTGGCAGGATGCAACCCGTCTAAACCGTTTTAAACCGGTCTGAACCGGTTTCAACTGCTCTTGGCCGGATTCAACCATTCTGAACCAGTTTCAATCGGTCTGAACCAGTTTCAATCGGTCTGAACCAGTTCCAATCGGTCTGAACCGTTTCCAACCGCTACAAGGCGGTTTCAAACGGCTCAGACCAGTTACAACCGGTCGGAACTGGTTCCAACCGGCTCGGATCAGTTCCAACAGGTCTGAACCAGTTCCAACCGGTCTGAACCGGGTCCAACCAGTCTTGGCCGGATACAACTGGTTCAAACCGGTTTAAACCGGTATGAACCGGTTCCAACCGGTCTTGACTGGATTCAACAGGTCTAAACCTGTTTCAGTCTGTCTGAACCAGTTCCAACCGGTTTTGGCTGGATTCAACCGGTCTGAACCGTTTCAAACCGGCTAGGATACAACTGGCCTAAACCGGTTTAAACCGGCCTGAACTGGTTTCAACCGGTCTGAACTGGTTCCAACCAGCTCGGACCAGCTCCATCCAGTCTGAACTGGTTCCAATCGGCTCGGACCAGTTACAACCGGTCTGAACTGGTTCCAACCGGCTCGGATCAGTTCCAACAGGTCTGAACCAGTTCCAACCAGTCTGAAACGGGTCAAACCGGTCTGAACCGGTTCCAAGTGGCTCAGACCAGTCCCCAGGTCTGAACCGGTTCAACCCGGTCATGGCCGGATATAACCGGTCTTGACCGGATACAACTGGCCTAAACCGGTTTAAACCGGTCTGAACCGGTTCCAACTAGCTCAGACCAGTACCAACAGGTCTGAACCAGTCCGGGGTGATTTCAACCGGCTCGAACCAGTTACAACCGGTCGGAACCAGTTCCAACCGGGCTTGGCCGAATTCAACCGGTCTGAACAGTTTCAAACCGGCTAGGACCAGTTCCAACCTGTCTGAACTGGTTCAAACCTGTGCGGACCAGTTCCAACCGGTCTGAACTGGTTCCAACCGGCTCCGACCAGTTTCAATCGGACTAAACCGGTTTCAATCGGTCTGAACCAGTTCCAACAAGCTCGGACCAGCTCCATCCGGTCTGAACTGGTTCCAACCGGCTCGGACCAGTTACAACTGGTCTGAACCGGTTCCAACTGGCTCAGACCAGTACCAACAGGTCTGAACCGGTTCCAACAGGTCTGAACCGGTTCAAACCGGTCTTGGCCGGACACAACCCGTCTAAACCGTTTTAAACCGGTCTGAACAGGTTTCAACCGCTCTTGGCCGGATTCAACCATTCTGAACCAGTTTCAATCGGTCTGAACCAGTTTCAATCGGTCTGAACCAGTTTCAATCGGTCTGAACCGTTTCCAACCGGTACAAGGCGGTTTCAAACGGCTCAGACCAGTTACAACCGGTCTGAACTGGTTCCAACCAGCTCGGATCAGTTCCAACAGGTCTGAACCAGTTCCAACCGGTCTGAACCGGGTCAAACCGGTCTTGGCCGGATACAACTGGTTCAAACCGGTTTAAACTGGTATGAACCGGTTCCAACCGGTCTTGACTGGATTGAACCGGTCTAAACCTGTTTCAGTCGGTCTGAACCAGTTCCAACCGGCTTGGACCATTTCCAATCGGTCTGAACCGGTTCCAACCGGTCCAGGGCGGTTCCAACCGGCTTGGACCAGTTCCAATCGGTCTGAACCAGTTCCAACCGGTTTTGGCTGGATTCAACCGGTCTGAACCGTTTCAAACCGGCTAGGATACAACTGGCCTAAACCGGTTTAAACCGGTCTGAACTGGTTTCAATCGGTCTGAACCGGTTCCAACCAGCTCGGACCAGCTCCATCAGGTCTGAACTGGTTCCAACCGGCTCGGACCAGTTACAACTGGTCTGAACTGGTTCCAACCGGCTCGGACCAGTTCCAATCGGTCTGAACCGGTTCCAACTAGCTCAGACCAGTACCAACAGGTCTGAACCATTTTAAACCGGTCTGAACCGGGTCAAACCGGTCTTGGCCGGATTCAAACAGTCTGAACCAGTTTCAATCGGTCTGAGCCAGTTTCAATCAGTCTGAACCAGTTCCAACGAGCTCGGACCAGCTCCATCCGGTCTGAACTGGTTCCAACCGGCTCGGACCAGTTACAACTGGTCTGAACTGGTTCCAACCGGCTCAGACCAGTTCCAATCGGTCTGAACCGGTTCCAACTGGCTCAGACCAGTACCAACAGGTCTGAACCGGTTCCAACCGGTCTGAACCGGGTCAAACCGGTCATGACTGGATTCAACCGGTCTAAACCTGTTTCAGTCAGTCTGAACCAGTTCCAACCGGCTTGGACCAGTTCCAACCGGTCTGAACCGGTTCCAACCGGCTCAGACCAGCTCCAACCTGTCTGAACCGGTTCCAACCGGCTTGGACCAGTTCCAACCGGTCTGAACCAGTTACAACCAGCCTGAACCGGTTCCAACCAGTCCGGTCCGGTTCCAACCAGTCGGAACCGGTTCCAACCGGTCTGGACCAGATTCAATCGGCTCGGACCAGTTTCAACAGGTTTGAACCGGTTCCAACCAGTCTGGGTCAGTTTCAACCAGCCTGAACCAGTTCCAACCGGTCTGAACTGGTTCCAACCAGCTCGGACCAGTTCCAACCAGTCTGGGCCGGTTCAAACCGACTCAGACCAGTTCCAACCGGTCTGAACCGGTTCCAACCGGTCTGGGTCAGTTTCAACCGGCCTGAACCAGTTCCAACAGGTCTGAACCGGTTCCAACCGGTCTTAACTGCTTCCAACCGGCTTGGGCCAGTTCCAACCGGTCTGAACTGGTTGAAACCGGTCTGAACCGGTTCCAACCGGTCTTAACTGCTTTCCAACCGGCTCGGGCCAGTTCCAACCGGTCTGAACCGGTTGAAACCGGCTCGGGCCAGTTCCAACCAGTTTGAACCGGTTCCAACTGGCTCGGACCAGTTCCAAAATGTCTGAACCTGTTCCAACCGGTCTGAAGTGGTTCAAACCGGCAAGGACCAGTTCCAACCAGTCTGAACTGGTTCCAACTGACTCGGACCAGTTCAAACCGGTCTGAACTGGTTCCAACTGGCTCAGACCAGTCCCCAGGTCTGAACCGGTTCCAACCGGTCTGAACCGGTTCAACCCGGTCATGGCCGGATATAACCGGTCTTGACCGGATACAACTGGCCTAAACTGGTTTAAACCGGTCTGAACCGGTTCCAACCGGTCTGAACTGGTTCCAACCGGCTTCAACCAGTTTCAATCGGTCTGAACCAGTTTCAATCGGTCTGAACCAGTTCCAACCAGCTTGGACCAGCTCCATCCGGTCTGAACTGGTTCCAACCGGCTCAGATCAGTTCCAATCGGTTTGAACCGGTTCCAACTGGCTCAGACCATTACCAACAGGTCTGAACCGGTTCCAACTGGTCTGAACCGGGTCAAACCGGTCTTGGCCGGATACAACCTGTCTAAACCGTTTTAAACTGGTCTGAACCGGTTTCAACCGCTCTTGGCCGGATTCAACCAGTCTAAACCAGTTTCAGTTGGTCTGAACCAGTTCCAACCGGCTTGCACCAGTTCCAATCGGTCTTAACCGTTTCCAACCAGTACAAGGCGGTTTCAAACGGCTCGGACCAGTTACAACTGGTCTGAACCGGTTCCAACCAGTCTGAACCGGGTCAAACCGGTCTTGGCCGGATACAACCGGTCTAAACCTGTTTCAGTCGATCTGAACCAGTTCTAACCAGCTTGGACCAGTTCCAATCGGTCTGAACCGGTTCCAACCAGTCCGGGGCGATTTCAACCGGCTCGGACCAGTTACAACCGGTCTGAACCAGTTCCAACCGGTCTTGGCCGAATTCAACCGGCTAGGACCAGTTCCAACCTGTCTGAACCGGTTCCAACCAGCTAGGACCAGTTCCAACCGGTCTGAACTGGTTCCAACCGGTCTAGAACCAGTTCCAACCGGTCTGAACCAGTTACAACCAGCCTGGACTGGTTCCAACCGGTCCGTTCTGCTTTCAACCTTCTTGAACCTGTTCCAACCTCATCGGACCAGTTCCACCTGGTCTGAACTAGTTCCCACCGTCTTGGGCCAGTTCCAACCGGTCTCAACCGTTTCCACCTGGCTCGGACCAGTTTCAACAGGTCAGAACTGTTTCCAACCGGTCTCGGCCGGTTCCAACCAGTCTGAACCGGTTCCAACCGGTATGGGCCAGATTCAATCGGCTCGGACCAGTTTCAACAGGTTTGAACTGGTTCCAACCAATTTGGGCCGGGTTCAAATGGTCTGAACTGGTTCATGGACCAGTTCCAACTGGCTCGGACCAGTTTCAACAGGTCTGAACCGGTTCCAATCCGTCTGGGCCTGTTTCAACCGACCTGAACCAGTTCAAACTGGTCTGAAGCGGTTTTAACTGACTTGGACCAGTTCCAACAGGTCTGAACCAGTTCCAACCGGTCTTGACGGATTCAACCAGCCTAAACCGGTCTCAACCTGTCCAGGCCAGTTTCAACCGGCTCGTACCAGTTCCAACCGCTCTGAACCAATTCAAACGAGTCTGAACTGGTTCCAACCGGCTCGGTCCAGCTCTAAACTGGTTTCAACCGGTCTGGGCCGGTTCCAACTGCCTCAGACCAGTTTCAAAAGGTCTGAACTGGTTCCAATCGGTCTGGGCCAGTTTTAACTGGTCTGAACCGGTTCGCAGATCAGTTCGGTCTGAACCAGTTCCAACTGCCTCAGACCAGTTTCAACAGGTCTGAACTGGTTCCAACCGGCTCGAACCAGCTCCAACCGGTCTGAACCAGTTCCAATCGGTATGGGCCAGTTTCCACCCAGCTGAACCAGTTCAAACAGGTCTGAATCGGTTCAAACCGGCTCAGACCAGTTCCAACCGGTCCGGGGCGGTTTCAACCGGCTCGGACCAGTTCCAACTGATCTGAACCGGTTCTAACTGGCTTGGACCAGTTCCAACAGGTCTGAACCGTTTCCAACCGGTCTGAACCGGTTCCAACCGGTCTTGGCTGGATTCAACTGGTCTAAACCGGTTTCAACCAGTCCGGGCCAGTTTCAACTGGCTCAGACCAGTTCCAACCGTCTCGGACCAGCTCCAACCAGTCTGAACTGGTTCCAACCAGCTCAGACCAGCTCCAACTGGTCTGAACCAGTTCCAAATGGCTCGGACCAGTTGCAACCGGTCTGGGCCGGTTTCAACCGGCCTGAACCAGTTCAAACTGGTCTGAACCGGTTCCAACCAGCTTGGGCCAGTTAGACCTGGTCTGAACCGTTTCCAACTGGCTCGGACCAGTTTCAACAGGTCTGAACTGGTTCCAACCGGTCTGGGCTGGTTCCAACTGGTCTGGGCCGGTTTCAACCGCTCTGAACCGGTTCCAACCGACTCAGACCAGTTCCAACCAGCTCGGACCGGTTCCAACCGGCCTGGACCGGTTCCAACCTGCTCAGACCAGTTCCAACTGGTCTGAATCGGTTCCAACCGTCTCGGACCAGCTTCAACCAGTCTGAACCGGTTCCAACCAGCTCAGACCAGTTCCAGTTACTGTTCACAGTAAGTTTTCTAATTATGATTGGCAGAGGTCCCAAAATACGAGCAGTCCATGAAAATGAGAGTTGTCAAGTACTGGATTGCAGGGGCATAGTTACCCTGGATGACTTAGGCACAGTTCGTCTTTAGACATGTAAATGGGGACTGCCACAGATATAACTATCGCAATCCGAACAACAACAACAACAAATTTCTTCCAGTAGCACCTTAGAGATCAACTAAGTTTGTTATTGGTATGAACTTTCATGTGCATGCACACTTCTTCAGATACACTGAAACAGAAGTCACCAGACCCTTATATATAGTGAGAGAGTGGGGAGGGGTATTACTCAGAAGGGTGGTGGGAATGGGTGATTGGCTGATAGGTGTAATAAACCTGTTTACAACTGTTAATGAGTGTGATTGGTCTTACAGGAAAAAGCAAGGGATGAGATGGCCAAAAATAGCTTTATCATGTATAATGAGATAAGACTCCAATGTCTCTATTCAGACCAGGTCTCTTCATGGTTTTAAGTTTGTTAATAAGTTGCAATTCAGCAACTTCCCTTTCCAGTCTATTTCTGAAATTCTTTTGTAATAAGGCAGCTACAAAAGAATTTCAGAAATAGACTGGAAAGAAAAGTTTCAGTCGTTAACAATCGTCAACAAGTTTACCACACCTATCATCTAATTACCCATTTTTTGTTTGTTTGTTTCAACCACGGCAGACCAACACGGCTACCTACCTGTAACTGCTCCAATCCAATTTTCCTTGCTGCACCTCACCACAGACACAATGCTATACATGGAGTCAATTCTCACACTCAATTATGAGTTCTAAAATACAGAGTGTAGAAAAATAAAAGGATGCATAGGCATGTATGACAGTGACCGAGGTCTTATCCTTGTTTAAAGATTCATCCCTTCTCTCAGTACTATCCCTGTAGTTCTGTGAGGGATATCTAACACAGAATTCTAATCCAAATGCAATATTTCATTTGCGGCAGTAAATTGTAGGCTGCTTAACGCTGTGGTTCCTATGCAATGGACAGTGGGGCTATGAAAGATGCAAAAGATAAAATCAGTAAAAATTTAATCATGAAATCAGAGCGGCTTGTGCAAATGGTCTGCTGATACATATTAAAAAAATTACAGTGGATGCTGGGGTTGTGAACGTGATCTGTGCGGCCGTGTCTGCGCATGCGTGGGTGGCAATTCAGTGCTTCTGCACATGCACAAAGTGTGATTTAGCACTTCTGTGCATGCACGAGCACCAAAACCCGGAAGTATCCCGTTCCAGTACTTCCGGGTTTGACGCAGTGCATGGACCCGAAAACATGCAACCTGAAGCATCTGTAACCCAAGGTATGACTGTATCTGAAGTTCAACACAGAGGGAAACTGCCTGATCTCAACTACTAGGGAGTTCCACAGAGCAGTATGAACTCTTGGCTCCTGGTAGACACAAGCCAGGTATCTGAGCCATGGGGGACCCCTAACATTGACTCATCAAAGACCTCAGTTATATGAGGAAGGGATATAAAGAATGAGGTGGTTCTTAAGGAATCCTGGGCCCAAGTTCTTAAGTAGCTTATAACACAAGAACCTTAAACGATCTATCAGTACCTGGGCAGCCAGGTGTTATGTTTTGAAGCACCAGTGTTTTGTTCTGGTGGTAGTCTTGTTGTTTAGTCGTTTAGTCGTGTCCGACTCTTCGTGACCCCATGCACCAGAGCACGCCAGGCACTCCTGTCTTCCACTGCCTCCCGCAGTTTGGTCAAACTCATGTTGTTAGCTTAGAGAAGCCTGTCCAACCATCTTGTCCTCTGTCGTCCCCTTCTCCTTGTGCCCTCCATCTTCCCCAACAACAGGGTCTTTTCCAGGGAGTCTTCTCTTCTCATGAGGTGGCCAAAGTATTGGAGCCTCAGCTTCACGATCTGTCCTTCCAGTGAGCACTCAGGGCTGATTTCCTTAAGAATGGAGAGGTTTGATCTTCTTGCAGTCCATGGGACTCTCAAGAGTCTCCTCCAGCACCAGAATTCAAAAACATCAATTCTTTGGCGCTCAGCCTTCTTGATGGTCCAGCTCTCACTTCCATGCATCACTACTGGGAAAACCATAGCTTTAACTATACAGACCTTTGTTGGCAATGTCTCTGCTTTTTAAGATGCTGTCTAGGTTGGTCATTGCTTTTCTCCCAAGAAGCAGGCGTCTTTTAATTTCGTGGCTGCTGTCACCATCTGCAGTCCCCACCAACAGTCTAGTCACAACATTTTGTAGCAGCTGGAGTTTCCAGACCATACCCTGGATACTTTGGTGAAAGCCATGACAGTTACCCCATTATAAAATTGATGTGGGTTTTTGTTTTGCGTTTTTAGTGTAGAAATACCGAGGGGCAATCGTGAAAACAACGCATCAGCCTACCTTTACAATCTTACAATCTTTTAAAAGTTTCCGTTCTCGAAAGAAAGAAAAAAGCCACTTCTGATTTGCTACCACATTTTCAGGCACACCATTCTATGTACCCTAAAACCGGGGAAGGTAGAATGTCAGTGATGGCAGAGCTCAGTTGGTCGGCCTCTGCAGCCAAAGTGGGCAGCTTTTAAAAAAG